TCCATCCACCCCGGGCTCACTCTTGTACCTTGACTGAATGTCATGTGCTTTCAAATTCGAACATTAGTCACACCCCTGACAACATGCCCTCTGTTTTATATGCAAACATTCTTTACACAAATTGTCTTCGTAGAAAGTTACCATTTACAATCCATTCTTGCAATATGTTCTCTTCGGTTTAGAATTAAAACTGTTGCTTTCGAACTGATTTTTTCTCGAAATTATAGAGACCAGAAATTTCGTTTTAAGATTCAAAAAGCCCTTGATTACTTGAAAAAAGAAAAGAAAAAGTTAATAGAATTTTCCCTGCGTTTTCCAAGAAAATTTAGTTTTAGTTTTATATCACTGATGCATGAAATCACAAGTTTGATAATGTCTAAATAATTCCTAAATNACAATACAAGACAGTTTCAGGTCGACTCCAAGATAGGAACTGAGCGGTAGCTATTCAGGTTTAACCCTGCTACACCCAAAATTTGTATTCTCATTACTGATTTTCTTATGTTCTTTTTAATGTCGATTCTGAGAATTTGGTTGTTCATCAAGACAATACCTTCAGCTGCTGATTTTCTTAGATTTTAATCATTCCTTCACTGTAACTGTTAAATGGTTAACAAGAGTAGAAATAATGTACTTATCTGATGTTTCCAATAGTCTGTGTACACCAGAGTCCAAGGGTACACTACAAACCAAGATACTGTTTCGGCTTTCAACACTGATCTGTTTCCAGCCTGGAAAATATAATATTAACAGTGTTTTAATTCAGTCAGTCGACTGACCAATTTGTAGTCGTGTTAGATACATTTGATAATTTCATAAATTTTAAAACTGAACCGTAGTGATTTGCTGTGGTTTTACATTTGCTTAAGAGATCTCGAAGAAAAGTGAATATTTCTTATGGTATCTACATTACCCCTCCATCCACTCCCCTCATGTGCCTTAACTGACTGTCATGTGCTTTCAAATTCGAATATTAGTTACACCTTCTGAAAACACGCCCTCCCTTTTTAGATGCAAAAATTCTTTTAACAATAAACTCCCTCCCACCTTCACTGATGCATGAAATCACAAGTTTGATAATGTCTAAATAATTCCTAAATTCTGAAAATTTAGTTCGGA